CCCCACGCCCACACAACAGTCCATTTTTTTCAGCTTCTTTCTATTTCTGGCCTTGGTGTTACATATTAAGCAATCATTTGCACAGAGGAACTTCAGCAGATGAACATCTGTGATTAATGCAATCAGATTTCAAATGAAGGTTACTGTCATTAAGCCGAAGAAGTCAACTACAAGAACTGAATCAACATCAAGCGATGTGTGGGAATGGCCAGCGTGCCACAAAAAATTTACAAGAATTCCACTAGATTATTTTTGGTTATGCGTGAACTGGTGATATACGTACCCAAAAAAAAAATGCTGCCAACAACAAAAGGCAATCATTGTTTAACGATCAGTCCACTCATCTAGTCATTGATTTCACTTGTCTTTCAGTCCACAGTGGGGTTACAATGGTGGAAATAGATGGACAGACAAACATTTGATCCTCTTTGACCAGTGCCTATAAGGTAAAGGTGAGAAAATGGAACAAAACCATAAGGAAAACGTAAGAACTGGCTTCGGAGGCCCATATTTGCCATTGTAACCAAAGTAACTTCAACATTTTCAGCAAGATGCCGCACAGCTGGTATGAGGTTCATGTCCTCTATTTCTGTGACCAAGCAGCTCTATCTTCGGTTCATCTGTCCAGAGCACATTATTCCAGAAGGCCTGCTGTTCGACTGTATGTTCATTGGCAAACTGCAGTTGTGCTCTAATGTTCTTTTTGGACAGCGAAGCATTTTTCCTGGCACGCCTCCCACGCGGGTCAGATTTGTGTAATCTTGTTCTGATTGTTGACACATGTACTTTGACACCGACACTTGCAAGAGTTACCTGCAGTTACCTTGAGGTCTCTTTCGTCTCTAAGGGTCAGTTCTTGAGCCATCTTTATTCTACTGCTTTCCAAATGTTGCTCCTTGTCAGTTAACCAATTATACATTAGATGGGGTTGGACTCCTCATCTTGGTAACCCAGAAAATAGATGTGAAGCTTTAAACAGGTTGTGAAATGGTTTATTTTAAAGCATATTCACCGAAACCTTATCAAGCGGTAGTTTTGGTGCATAAACTTAACGGAACAGCAAGTGAAAACTGCTGTGTCACACTTACACTAACTTCCTAAAGTGGACTTTGTGGTTCTTTGAAAGAGAAAAAGTTTCCTACTATGTCACTCTATTATCTTACCGAGAGAAAATATGTTTTAAAATGTAACTGATAAGGCAGTTTAGTTCTATAGAACCGTAATTTGGTGAAAGGGCTCAGATGCTCTGGGTAGATGCATCCACAACCTTTTTTTTCTGAAGGCCTTAGAAAGCTCTTTAGATCTTGGTACGATAACACCGCAGACTTTAATAGCAAAGAGAACAACAAAAACCTAGACGTCTGAGGTTTAAATAAGACTGCTCTTATCAGTCGCTCCCTAATCTTTGGCACCGAATCTGGAACCTCTGATTCTGATCAGATGGATGTGGAGGTGTGATAAATGTGCTTACTTTTTAAATGTGCCTGATCTCTGTTTGGATTTATTTATTTTATGGCTATGACTTAAAAATGTCACGTCTTTAAATACATCACTTCTATACTTGATGAGCCTATACTACCTGTTACATCCATGAACCATCCTCCCTTTGTCCTCTGATACCTCACATCTACCCCTGGACTACACATGTTCGTCTGTTTTCTTCTCTGTGTTGTGATGATTTGTCGTGTTTTGAGCTGTAATGAAAGTATGATGTTTTTTTTTTTCTGAACAGGAGATAACATCCTGCGCCCGTCTCGGGACCGAGCCACCGAAGCGGCATCAATAATTCATATCTTGACCATTATGAGATGTGAATTATGAGCTTGGGAATTCCTGGGTTCCTGGTAACAAGGGAGGGTTTGATGGTTCGGTTGATGGATGGGTGTTCTAACAGTTTTCATTTGTGTCGCCTGTGCTGTCTTGAAATTTCACGAAATGAGCCCGCCGATTAGGAATGCAAATACGGAAGACAAAAGCTGTTCGATTCAACCAGTGCTGATCACTACAGCATTTGTGTTTGAAGTGCCTTGCTAAAAGGAATGTCAGCAGCACCGGTTGAGGTATAACAGAACACATGAGTCATTTCAGCAGCTTTCACCATGACTGTTGTATTACACATCCCAGATGCACTTCTCACAGCTGTGCAACACAAGAACATCTGTCCCACCTTCACTTCACGGAGGCTAAATTTGATTGTGTAATGACTGTAAAGGTGAAAGTGGTGTACTTGCCAGGGAAAACTGACTAACGGTCTCAACCGCAGCCAATGTTTCCCCGAGGCGCAGTGGGTTGTTGTATAACGGTGCAGCAAAACGACAACAAATAAATATATATCCCAGGAGTCGAATAAGGGTGCGCTGCTATCAGTCATTGTGCCAGTTTCCCCCAAACAAACCTAAGAGTCTGTAGCCACGTTAGCAGGCCTGTGAGGCTGCACTTAGGTGAAGCTTTGGGTTGAATGCAAACATTAACGCAGCAGCTGCCGACCTTGTTCATCTTCAGAAATATGATTATATACATTAAACTGTTGTAAAAGTTCCCCTCAATCTGCCTTTCTGAACCAATCAGACACTCTATCCTTTTTGTTCCACACAGTAATTGGGTGTGTTAAGTCTTTTTTCTCTCCATAATTTACAACAGTTTTTGACAAATATCATATTTCCAACCAAATACCAAACTCTGACTGTGTTTCAGGAGATACTGTCTGCATATTTCTAAGCCATCATCACGTCCTCGTCCTCTCTGATGATTGGCTTTTCACTCCACCTTTAACTGTAGATACTTTTATCTTCTGACATGGATAACACATTTAAAGCAGCTTTGGCCGCATAACCCAGTTTTAAGGGTAGCACATTTGGATGCTAATGTTTGCTACTTGGGAAAAAACACAGAGTGCAGATGTAGCGGATGGGATTGTTGCTAGCTTTACAGGTGATCAACAAAATTAATGGACAAGATAACCTAAGTTATTATATGTAGTTCATCCTGATTAATTTGGTGGAGACGTAACCTAACCTGGTGCACCGCCACATCATTGTCTCTATGCTGGTTCTGCTGTTATCTATACTGACTCATCTGATCTATGAACAGCCCTGTGATTGGCTGAAATCTCCCATCAGAGATTAGGCCTTCTAAAGCCTGGAAGTGGAGTCATGAGATAGTCTGAAAGTCCAGTTTCTTCTCGTGCCACTTAAATTACAATATCCTGAGAGGGTATTATGAGGCGTTTTTGCCCAACTGTTGGCAAAAGAAATACTGCCTACCTCAGCTTTAATGTCAGAATTCTGAAAATGTGACAGTAACTGTTCTTCTATGGTATCATACATCTACTGGAGATAGTAAGCAATAAAAAAACAACACATGGAACAGTGATTTAAACACAGGTGCACCAACATGACTTGCACAAAAAGAGCTGTGCATGGAGATATTTGGCGTTTTAGTCTGACGATGAAAACCAAACTATCGACAATCCAAAGGCAGAATGCAAACAGTGCCAAAGAGCATTTGGAGCAAAAGGAGGAAACACATCAAACTTATCAATACAGCACAAAGACAGAATCCTGAGCTGCACACAGAACTCAGGATGAGAGAGTATCAGCTGGTAACTGTTCATATCCTTAAATGCTGCTGCTATTGATCGCGAACTGCAACATTTGTCATAGCACAGCTTTAACAATAGTGATCTTGTTGAGGCGGACATAGATTTTTTTGTATCAGTTTTGGTGTAGACAAACATGGGATTTCAATTGTTGTGTTACCAACAACCAAATCTCTAATATCTTGACTTCTCTCATTTTTGAGAGCTTTCCTATGTCAGTGTTTGGGATTCTTCCACTGGGGATCATGAATGTTTGTACAAACTTTGATGCAAATCCATCATGTAGATATTGCTGAGGATATGTACACCTACAGGTGGCAGAAGATTACAAGTTATTTCAGGATACATCCTCTGGAGAACATGAATGTCTGTGCAGTTCATCCAATAATTGTTGGGATGTTTCACTTGGGATCAACGTGGCGGACGAACCAACCAACTGAGAACTTGACAATGAACATTGCTAGAACTATGCCTGAACAGAACTCCACCTGAGCAGTTAAAACCAGGTTTTAGACTTTGTGTTTACAGCATTTCACGTAAAAGCTTTTAGGCTATAGGCTGAGCTGTGTTATGTAAGTTACAGAGAAGCAAAAAGGCCACATAAAAATTTCAGATACTTTAAAGCTGCACTAGCTGACACACATTGCTGCTTATTTCTCTGGTCAAAATGAAAAAACCCTCCTTCATGTGTCCACCACAGAGACAAAGCTATCTAATTTTGCAAAGAGTGCCACTGGCTCCAAAAGCTGCGCTGCTACAGCCAGTCCTCAGAGGAGCCGTAACCGGGGCCAAGGAACAGGCATCCTGGGCGGGCTCAGCTCCAATGCACTGGGCGTTCGGCCCGCACTGGAGCCTCGGTGGCCGCTCACTGGTTTGCTGCCATTTCAGCGAGGAGGGAAGGGAAGAGGGAGGGAAGGGATGTAAAGATGGGGGGGGGGGAAAGAAAGGAAGGAAGACACTCTGCCTTGTATAGAACAACTACCCAGGTGAACTTAAATGGGAGGCAAACATGCAGAGCAATAACACACACACATGTAGACACTAAGTGCTGTATGGAGGTTGAAGAACATAATGACACCAGACCACACACACACACAGGCAGGAACAACACTGTGGAGAGAATAGTTGGTGTTTTATGGGTTTATGGCTCAGACTGAGAAAGTCCAGAGTCCAGTCTGTCAGGCCTCCTACAGACAAAAAAAAAAATCAGGGTGTTTTCAGGTAAGCAGGCCTTCATGAATGGACCCAGTTCACCCATACTTGTTGGCTTCATCTTCCCACTTTGTGCAGCTCTGCATGCATCAGTGCAGCTGCAGCTTCATGCACTGTCTCCATCAGGCACCGGCTTGGTTTTTTCTGTGTGTGTATGTGGAGGGAGGGAGGGATGGGAGGGTTGTCTTACCTGGATTGCCGCAGTCCGCACACGTTTCGTTGCCCGGTCTCGCCAGCACGTCTTGCAGGAGCAGCTTGTTCCCCTCCGGTTCCAGCGCCATGGTGAGTTTATCCGTCCAGCCTCACCGCGGTGGGAAGAAGAAGAAGGAGAAGAAGCAGAAGAAGAAAGAAAGAAAGAAAGAAAGAAAGAGGAGTCTGCCCAGGAACATCCACCGCCGGCAGTCTGAGAAGACGGACAGACAGACAAGAGGGACAGAGCGGCTCGATCACCTGTCACCTCCGATCTGGCTGGAGAGGAGAGAGAACGAGGAGCGGAGGAGCCTGAACGAACCTTCCTCTCTCTCTGATAGCTCTATTACCAAGTCTCGCTGACTGCATAATAATCAAGCCTATATGTTCCCATCGCATCCTCCTCCTCCTCCCCTGCCCGCCTGTCTGTCCTCGCTCTGCTCTCCAACACGTTATCTGAGAAAAGCGAGACATCCAGCGGTGGACTAGTGGAACTGCACGTCTTAAAAAAATCCAGCAGTGGAAAAAGATCTCACACGTTTAACCAACAAATTGAAGAGCAAGTGAGATAGTGCATGGAAAAGCTTATTTTAGTTTTAAGAATTTTTTTTAAATTGTGTATTTTTTCATGATGAATACATTAATGCATTAATAATCCAACTACATATTTTATACATTATTTTAAAATACAACATTCTGCATAATAAGTACTTCGGTATTTGGTACTTTATTGGTATTTTAATGCTAGTACTTTTGTACCAATACTTAGTGTAAAAGTCTGAATATGAGACTTTTTTTTTTTTTTTACTGTGTGGTATTATTACTTTTAGAAGTTTCAGATATAAGTACTTCTTCCAAAAATGTCTGATATATTATATAGACTAACAATAGTATATTTATGATAAGATAAATCGAAATATCCGGGAGCTGAAGCAAAATTTAATCACAAAGATAAAATAAAAATAAATAAATGGGAAAAAAAGCAGTTTTTTTTTTTTTTTTTAATTTTATATGAATAAATATGTTGTTAAAAAGTTGTAAAAATATTAAAGTGGAATGAAAATATAACCCTTAAAAAATGTCCGATTTCATGAAAATGTTTAAATGACTTAAAAAAAAAATTTTGGACTTAAAAAAATAATAATAAAAAATAAAATAAAAACAAACAAACAAACAAACAAACAAAATATATATATATATAGTAATGCTAGATTAAATCTGCCTTTTTTCTTCTTTCATCAAAAACAAAAAGTTAAGTTCTAAAAATATAAATGGAATAAATATATATATTAGGACTCAATCGACAGCATAGACAATCGATCGAAAGCCTGCTCGTCAATCGATGCGCTCCACTTCACTAGTGATGTCTGTCTGCTGAGACGGCCCCCAAAACAACACGTCATATTCGCGCGACCACAGGGTCACTGTACGAAAGACTTTCAGCGTTATAACTAAGGCTTTAACGCGTATAAACATGTCTACTGCTATGAATTTTGGTTCCAAGACTTTTAAGCCTCGACCTCCCGACAAAGGCTCGTTCCCTCTGGATCATTTTGGTAAGTTCAGCCACAGACTGGCCTCATTGCACAGTGTTATCCACCACAGTCTATCGCTGTTCGATATAGTAAGTCCCACATTATGCACAGAAACTAAATATGTAATGTGTCAGCAGGGTTTGTGAGTTGCAGTGTAGCAGTAAAACATTCTGCTAAAAAATAAAATAAAAAAACACACCGGAAGTCAAACATTGTGCCGCTAAAAATGTACAGCTAACTTCTGATAGTTAGCTTAGCTTAGCATCGTAACTTCTCTCACTTTGATTCACGTCAGCTAAAGAAAAGAATTATGACATTAATATATTAACAAAAAACGTCTCACCTGTGAAGTGTTGTTTCTTTTTGATTGTTTTTGCCATTTCTTTCATTAGAGCATCCAAAAGCAGCACAAAAGTCCGTCGAGTTCGGCTCGTTAACCGACCAGAACTTTCCACGGCGACAGAGAAACACAAATTATTTACCTTCTTATGTTTGATACCATGAAGTTCACTGTCACGGCTCACTGGAACCTTCGTTACTGACATTTGTTTCACCCGTGCTTTTTCTGATGTAACGAGTCAAAATATCGGCCATGAAAAAAAACTAAACAATTTATTTGATTACTTTGTGATATAAAACTGCATAGTGGAAGTTAGTTACTCTTCTAATATTATTTTTATTGCTCCAATATTTGGCCAGTTAAATCCTATTCAAGTGGTTTCCAAGCTGTTTGGAAGAAATCTATTTGTTTGTTTTTCTCCCTCATTAAATACTGCATGTTTTTACATATCCAGGTTAAAATCTCTGACCTCAATTTTTCTGAGACAGCAAAATAATATCATCCCAAAGATCTCCCAAATGACTCTCAAGCTACCCTAGAAAAATGACATACAAATAGGATGCAATATAACAAATGATTAGAGTAGGAAGAGTAAATTGCAAATGCGTATTGTGCTGGTAACTCATTCCCTTGGTATCGCTCGTTGCAGTGAAGACAAACTAGTTTTGGATTCCCTAAAGCTGGCGAAAAACGCAGGAAAATGTCATTTTTTACAAATTTGTGTTTTGCAAATGATCTTCAGAAAAAAATGGACAGAGTTCTGTTAATAAGCAGATCAGGGACAGCAGCCACATGAGTTCAGGAGAACCCCAGGTTTTGTGTGGAAAGCATTTTGTAAAGCTTGTCAAATTGAGAATAGAGATAGCCGACATGAACTGCATTGATATGATAACTAACTGAACTGATCTAATGCCTGAAGAAAATATGCCGCTTTATGAACACTACTTTAGGAGGCATTGTATTTCATGTATGATAAAAGCTTATATTTAAACCTGTGACTACTTCTGCCAAATTTTGTCTCACCTGGACTGTTAATAAAGTAAAAGTAAACATCACCAAACTCCACCAGTGGCCAGTTGGTGGGGTTGTCTCTCCAGGTATCAGCAGGAAACCTGTACGGCACATTTCCAACAACCTCAAAGACAGAAACATTTCTGAAACATCAAATATCTTGTTGTAAATGGAGTTGCAAGTACACCTGGTTTTATCCATCAACAGATGAGAGTTTGACAGAACGTTCAAATATTTTATTTATTTATTTATTTTTGTTTAAAACCTTGGAAATGTAACAGCCTGAGAAGGAAAAGTAATATTTTCTCAAACATCTCCCAAATTAATTTCAAGCTACCCAAGACAAATAGACCAACCTGACTCAACATAATGTGTGATCTGGACAGGAGGAGTGCATTTCTAATTAATATTAGACACACTGGGACTCATCAAAATTCTTTACATCAGTGAATCTTACATGAAGCAATCAGCTAGAAACTTGGGACTTGTTTTTGATCAATACCTGAATTTAAACCAGCACATTAAGAGTCTTGTTTAATCTTCGTACTTGCAGATTAGAAACATCACCGCTTCCTAAAACATTGCTGAACAACTCTCCCGCACTTGTATTTTCTCCTGCCTGGACTTCTGCAACTTATTATTCACCTGCGTAAACCACACAGCAATTGCCGTTCATCACGTGGGAGCAGTCTTGCTAATGAGTTTTGAATCAGAGAACACATTACTTCAGTCCTGGGTGGAATTACGCTGGCTCCCCATTCTTTATCGAACTCAGTTTTAGATTGTGAGGCTTAAATCTCTACATTGTGGCTCGGCTCTGCATCTCAGAACTATCAACCCCTTATTCTGTGCTCAGACCCTTGAAATCAGAAAATCAATTGCTGTTCAAAAGTTCTACAGTCCAGGCTTTAAACAAAGGGAGAACCATGTTTTTACTGCTCTGGAACCAACTCCTCCTCGTTGTCAGAGCAGCTCAGTTCGTGCTACATTTTAAAAAGCTTTTTTTTAAACCCACTTGTACAGATTGGCATTTGTTTAGACCTTCATATTGTCTTTTCTATTCCATTTATTGTCGTGATTTTTCATGTTTCATTGTCTTGTCTTAGTGTTTTGCTGTCTCTTTTAAATGTTATGTTGTTTTTCTTTCTTGCTAAGCACCATACACCTCCAATTTTCAAAGGTGTTATAATAAAATTACATAACAAATGTTCAGCTATAAACAGATGAGGCTGATTTTGGCTAACTGTTGTTTCAGGAGAGTGTAAAGCCTTCAAAGAAACGTTTATGAAATGTCTCCGAGACAACAGATTCGACAACTCCAAGTGCCGACTACAGTCTAAAGACTATCTGGAGTGCCGGATGGACCAGTAAGACAACCCCACTGACTCAGTAAACATCAACACTTTTAAGCAAAAATGTGTATATTTATATATATACATGTATGTAATACTTTCTTGTAATGTTTTGTAGTCAGCTGATGGCCAAGGAGCCTCTGGAGAAACTAGGATTCAAGGACCTGTTGGATCCTCCTCCCAGCCAGGCGGACAAAGACTCTAAACCCTGATCTGCTACAACTCAGCTGCTGTTTCCAAAGTGCACACGTGGAGTTTGGTGTAAATAAGCTGACAACAAAAGCATATAAAAGGAAAGACTGCCGTGAGTGCGGAGCTGAGAGGAGTCGCTGCAGAAACTCTGAGAATGCAGCTCCTGCAGGAGGACGTTGTGGGTGGATTTGTTGTCCTAGTTTGAGACTACAAACAAATCTTGTACATAAAATGAAATGTCTAATATATAGAGAGATGCTGTTTTGGCACATCAATAAATGTTTTCTATTTTAACTGTTGTGACGAAACGTTTCACACTAGTTCAGTTGTTGGTGTTGCATTTGTATGATTGAATTAAACCTGAGATGATGATGATGAGACAGCCAACAAACCAAATGAACTTCACTGAATCCGCCTACAGCAGGTCAGGGTTAGGGTGAACTTTAAAGGGCTTCCCATAACTTTTAAAGTCCTGTTCTGAAACAGTTATTCTCAAATTATGTCTTACTGTTATTGTCCCACAAAAACACCACAGATGTGTCCGTGTTTGTGCTTTCATCCCAAAGCTAACTGGTTCCTTCCAAAGACATAAATCCATACAAATGGCCGACAAATGTTCAATTCAGATAGATGCTATGCTATGCTACTAATCCTAAAAGGTGTGTTCCCCTATAAACTTACCGGTTGAAGTTAGGCTAAGAGTGCAGCCATTGCTAAAAGAAACTACTAGATGTCGATAGTCAGGAAAATATTAATCTAGGTTTGTTTGCAAAGCTCCATCGAGTTCACATTGTTCCTGCTTTGTCTGCTGATGATTAGCTTTGCCGGGGGCCTTTGCCTAACGCACTGCATTGCAAACAGAAAATCAAACTTGTATCCGGGTTAATACTTTTCCTCCATGAATGGCTCTGTTTTACGGTGAGGAATTGTGGTTTCACTGTTGGTTGCTTCATTGTGGGCCTTTGATAGCTGGAAGGAACAACAAGTTCTGGATTCTGAGGAAAAAAAGACTGAGGACAGAATAACATCAGGAAGATTGAATGATTGTATGCAGGAAAATAACCTTAAAATCCAGGCAGAGATGTTCTGATTGAAAGGATGGAAGTTTGTTCAGAATCTAAAGTGATTGTGAAGTTGCTCAAATGACAGCTTGGCTCTATAATGTATTTCCTCCTTCCTCTGGATGTATAATCAGTTTAAATGCAGGGTGCAGCAGCGTTGAATTACTTCATGATAAAGTATCTTTGCATTTAGTTGATCCACTCCTTCCCTTTGTTGTAAAGATGTTCACAGACAGTGAAATGAGTTTTGACCCCTGTACAGCCAACATATAGACTCTACAGACATTAACTCTTCAGCTTTTATGATGACGCTGCCCGGTAGGCTGGTTTAAGTCATATTCTGTTTTCAGATTATTGACCCTGTGTGTTGCTGCAGCCAATCACCGCTGGCCAAGAATTGATGGATAGATGGAAAACTGATTACTCTAATTGTCTGTCCAGGTCTCCAAATGTGCACAATTGGCAGAGTTGTAACTAAATTAACTCAGTAAATTTACTTAAGTGCTGCACTACAGTACAATTCTAAGAAATATGCACTTTATGAGTGATATAAAATACAATTAATTACATTTTCGTTCAGTAAATTAAGCTGCCTGCTAGTATATAAAATAAAACCACCTCTATCTCAGTCAGCTCCAATATGTAAGTCCTGCTCAAATGTTAATGCATTAGTAATATTCATCCAATAGTATAACATAAAATAAAACACTGACAGATCCCATTTTGTGGTAATAAATAAACAGTTTTACCTTTTACCTAAAGTAAAGAACCTTAAAAAAATTAAGTTATCCCACTGTTTTCATAGACACATTTACACTTGTTTTTTTCTACTCTGTTATATTTTCTATTTGCACTTTATAGTTGTACTTAAAAAAAAAAACCATCTGATTGTGTGAATGTACTGACAGGATCGCTGCTTAAATTCGTCGTACGATTAACGTGTTCTACTCAAAGTGGCCTCATGTCAAGACCAGATTTAAAGAGTTAAGAAACAAAGCCAGGTTGACAAAACAAACAAAGATCTACTTGTAGCTATGCCAGCACTGCAGCTAAGGTGGTTTGTTCAGTCGGTGATTTCAGCGTGATGCAGCACAAACCCTTGTTTTTTTCTGCATTAATACTAACACCATGTAGAACTTAGTCTCTGACTAAACCCGGGGGATTTCCTGTAATCCCTCCAGTCTCTGGTTTTGTCTTGTCTTTGTATATTTATGAAGCGGTTTCATTAAACCCTCAGATATACACACAACTTCCCCCTGAGCTTACACATGTTTACATATCTTTGTATCAAACCTTCCTCCACCAGGTGAATCTGTGTCATTCTCATTGACATAAACTGACTTCATGCTGAGTTGCAGCCCCTCTAAAAACATCTGAACAATGTCGAAAGTTCCTCAGCAATTGCAGTTTCTTGTTTCTCGTCCGTGGATTTCTCTGATGAAAAAACACACCCTTATGAAAGTATTGTCACTGCATGAAGAAATCCTGCACACCAAAGCTGATGACTTCTGTTTTTATTTGATACGACTTCATCTGATCTGGTCAAAACGTCATTTAATGTTTTCTCTTTGTTCGACGGTAAAATATACGACACACAACTTGGGTCAGAAAGGAACTCAGTACATTTACTCAAGTACTGTGCGATACTGTAAAATACTAAATGAGTTACTTGTGCTTGAGTATTTCCATTTTCTCCTCCTATATACTACAACTCCACAACAATTCAGAGGTGGTTATTGTACTTTTTATTACATTATATTCGATGCAAGCTTGAATTACTTTGCAGATTTATTTTAATGATGCAAAGTATGATCAACAAACTGTAGATACAGATACAACTCAATTAATGTTTGAGCAGAAATTCAAAATATACCCAGTAGATAAACTGTATTAAGTAGCACAATCGCATTTATAAGCACCAACATTAAAGTGATGAACACATGAATTCATCTATAATTCTAATCCAAAGCATACATACATATATAGTTTAAATGCTGCTTTTGAGACTTTATTTGATGCCAATACTTTTGTACTTTTACTTAGTATACATGTACTACTTCAATATAAATTAAGGATAAATTGAAATGCACACCGTCTACTTGTAATAGAAAAGACTAATAATGACTAATGAACTGATTTTTCATAAACTATTGTGCATGTAACAGCAGTGTTTGTTGCAGAGGAGTGTAGAGAGGTTTTATGTTGATGAAGATGAAATAAGAGCATCTACCGGCTGTAACAACAGCTGTTCTGGAAGTTGTGAACGCTAGATTCTAAGTAATAAAAATAAATCAGAGGAGCTCCAGAGGTGTTGAAGAGTCTTAAACTTCTGAAACTGAGCCTGATATCTGTTAACTAATGAAAGCACTGATTTTAAAACTACACACCAGTGGTTCCTACACTTTATGAATGTCTAAAAATGGATTTACAAACAGAGGAATTTGGAAAATTTGAGCGTCGGTGTGGCTTCTGCATAGAAAGCGATGATGCGTCGTCTTCAGCGTGGCTGTCGGAGGCACTTCAGAGGATTTGGCAACATATTCCTCTCTGGGGTGGAAAAAAAAAAGGGTAAGTCCTCATAAAAATGTTTCTCATTAATGCTGCATTTGAGCCTACAAGAAACACAAGACCACCTCATACCATGAAGGCTTTTCAACCAAAAAAGATCCGAATTTTGAACTTAGGTAGGTCTAGTCCTAAATATGCATTGGTTCCCAGCAAGAACCAGATGCCATCTGGATATGAACAGGAGTTATGATGACATTGGTGTTGTGAGTGTGCATTCATGAAGTCCATGAAAGCAAACAAGCAAAAGAAAAGGGCTGCGTCCAAAATCATCCAATCCCTTTCTACTCACTATCTAGGGACCACTATATAGTGAACTATGTAGGGAGCACCTTGTTCAAGTAACATTTCGGACACGACTCTCAAGCTTTTAAATACGTTGCTTGCTAGCCGTGATTTGTGCTGTAGTTTACTGAATAGCTAACAAATGGGTAAATAAAATTTAACAAAACATAAATGGGAAATTACTTTCATTTTAAAATCATGTTGTCTCGTCCTCGTTCGCCTATTTTTCATTTCCTTTCGCGCAAAGCATGATGGTCCAATGACTAGGTTCGTGGTTAGTGATCATCGGCTGTACGCGACTTTTCACGGTGCATTGTGGGATATTTTCGGTGCACTATATAGGGTGTAACATTTCTAACTTAACATTCGGACAGCACTACAAAATGGCGAACATCCTTTATGGTGCACTACATAGGGTATAGTGGGTGAGTTCGGACACAGCCTCTGTGTTTTCCCAGGTTGCATGAGGAGCTTTTAGTGTCATTTAGACAACTGCTGAGTTTCAGCAGCATTTTAAAAGGCTCCATTAAAAAGCAAGGCAGGTGCAGAACTTGCTAAAAAGCTGGTCAACTCGTGGAAAAGGAGCTGGAAATGCATCGCTACAGGATGTTTATCACTGTGGGTGATGGGAGGAAGTGGTCCGCTAGTAAATACCAAATCGGTCTTCTGTTGGCTGAACAACCCTAAATGGTTCCCATGATGTTCGACTTACTTTCTCTAACTTCTGGAGTCTTTGTTGAAGCCACCGGGCTTCTGGGTCCACGCACCAGCTTGTAGTCCCGTTAGTGAATCTGTAGGATGGAAAAGACCACTGATGATTAGAAGTGTGTCGCAAGAACAGCATCGTCTGCTAAATATGAACATTCATTCATTATGCTAAGCTAAGCTAATGACCTCCAACTTCATATTCACTGCACAGACATCTGTGCGAGAAACATTTCCCAAGAACGCTGAAGTAACAGTTTGCCACAGGAAGAGTTTTTACTTACATGAATGCATGCACTCTGCAAGAAAATCTCTTTTTCCTCTGTTCAAAGCACTCGTTGACGGGTACATTAATTGTACTCTTTGAAACTTCTCGACAGCAGGAGACCGCGACGTGTCCTGAAAACCTTGGCAGAGGTCTGAAACACTGAGGAAGCCCTACAATGTAGACAACAACACAGAATATCATCAATCTGTACGAAGAAAATACTCTTCCTGATCATTTATGTTTCATGAGTTAAAAAATGCTAAATGTTTCTGGAGTGAAACCTTGCGTATGTAAGTCAGTCTCCTTACAGTGTGTAACTGAAGTGAAAAAACAAATTTTTAGACAGGATGATTCTTGTCTGGATGCATTTCCTGGAGTCTCCTTGTAACCCAAACCAGCACAGAGAGAACTAGAAGCTACCTGGTTCCAGCTGCTT